TTTCAGTTTTCGATTTTGTGTTTAAACGAAGAATGGAAAAACCGGATAATGGCCGTTTCTCGTTTCCGTGACTTAAACTGCGATCCTGGACTTTTACGCCACATACAGACTGAACCAGGACTAAACTGGTCTCTGTCCTGGTCTCAGTCTTGGTCTCAGTCCTGATCTCAATCATGATTTGGTCCCAGTCTGGTCCCGGTCTGGTCCCGGTCTGGTCCCGGTCTGGTCCCGGTCTGGTCCCGGTCTGGTCCCGGTCTGGTCCCGGTCTCGGTTCTGATCAACCAGCAGCGTACGCAGGCGTGCCTCTGGAGCCGTCCCGACACACAGTCCTGGTTCAGTCCTGGTTCAGTCCTGGTTCAGTTCCTGGTTCAGTCCCGGTTCAGTCCCGGTTCAGTCCCGGTTCAGTCCCGGTTCAGTCTCGGTTTAGTCTGGTTCAGTCCTGGTTCAGTGCTGTTCAGTGCTGGTTCAGTGCTGGTTCAGTGCTGGTTCAGTCCTGGTTCAGTCCTGGTTTAGACCTGGTTTAGACCTGGTTCAGTCCTGGTTCAGTCCTGGTTCAGACCTGGTTCAGTCCTGGTTCAGTCCTGGTTCAGTCTCGGTTTAGTCCTGGTTCAGTCCTGGTTCAGTCCTGGTTCAGTCCTGGTTCAGTCCTGGTTCAGTCCTGGTTCAGTTCAGTCTGGTTTAGACCTGGTTCAGTCTGGTTCAGTCTTGGTTTCCTGGTTCCTGGTTCAGTCCTGGTTCAGTCCTGGTTTAGACCTGGTTCAGTCCGGCATTGCACTTTAAGTCACGAAAACGGGAAACAGCCATTATCCAATTTTTCATTTTTCGGAAAATCCTTCCCAGTATGCATTACGCAATGACCGGAAATCCAAAATTCGTGATGCATCTATTGAATAAATGTAAAGTAGAGCTGTTTAATGTCACACTGTGGAAGCATCTGACGAATCCTCAACCAGAAAAGTTACACAATGCATCTTTAAATCCTATAAACTCACCAAACAAAGCCAAATATTTCTTAAAGAAGAGCGTAAACTTCACACAGCTCGTCTCAACTGCTTGTACCGGCCTATAGCCCCTGAATACTGAAGACATCTAGTTGTTAATGCGGCACTGGCTAATGATTTCTGCTCCATTCACAGAGTTCGCATTCTCTGTGGCTCCTTTAATCCATGGCTCTGCAGCACGGGGCCCTTAGTCAGCAGAGCCATGCAAATCAAGAGGCACGAGGCTATAGGAAACACAGCTGACCCGGACACATCCAAGAGTTCATTACCAAGCTGTTTGTGGAGGAAATGACTTTGACTTTACAAAACATGGGACAGGAAAACCCAGCTGAATTATCTATATAAGTCTGTACTGATTTAATTATGGAAATAGATGAATGAGACCCAACGGCATTGTTTATAGCTGGAAGAAGATCACTTTTATTGTATTTATTTATTTATTTTTTAAAAGTTTTGGTGAGCTATGAAAGACAGAACTAAAAAAAAAAAAAAAAAAACATAAAATTTGAGAGATTTTTCTTTTTTGTGATCTTTTTAATTTTTTTAATTATTATTATATTTTTCTTTATTCATTTATTTTTATTTTGATGAGATATGAAAGACAGAACTAATAAAGACATAAAATTTCTGAGATTTTTCTTTTTTGTGATCACTTAAAAAAAAATAATAATAAAAAAATTGGTGAGCTATGAAAGACAGAACTAAAAAAAAAACATAAAATATGTGAGATTTTCTTTTTAGTGATCACTTTTTTTTTGGTGAGGTATGGAAGACAGAACTAAAAAAAAAAAAAAAAAAAACATTAAATTTGCGAGATTTTCTTTTTTGTGATCACTTTTTTTTTTTTTTTTTGGTGAGCTACGGAAAACAGAACTGAAAGTTGAGAGATTTTTCTTTTTTGTGTTTTTTTTGTTTGTTTGTTTTTTGTGTTTTTTTATTTTATTTTGGTGAATACACACAATTTGAGTCATTTTTCTTTTATTAGTATTATTATTTGCAGTTATATTATATTTATATTTTTCTCTCCCTTTTGATTGGCATATAAAAATATTAAAAATGGTAAATATGCACATTTTAGAGATTTTTCTTACAAACACTTAGTTGTTTTTGTTTTCTTTTTATGATCTCTGTGACTTTGGAAACTGCTTTGTTTGTAAAATGGACTATATAAATCAAGTTTTTTAGGATTTGAAGTTGTGCAGTAAAAATGCGCTACCTTAAAATTGTATGAGGATAAGGGGTGTGCAAAAATATTGAAGTATTGATATATGGTATAGATTAATGTGATGATACAGTATCGATATCGTGGGCTGCTGTATCGATATATCACCAAGAGTATTTTTTGGTATATTTTACAAAATTATTTTGTTACAGTGCTACAGTTTTGTTGCTTGTTCAGAGGAAGGAAACTCATTTATGCGACAAATTTGACATTTTCACTGTTTTGAGGATTAAATTGTTTGTGTTTCATATGAACTTTGCACAAAAACTTTTAGTATCACAGCCAAGAGTTAGGCTTTTTTTTTTTTTTACTGAACTGTATCGAATCCATTTGAAATATATCATATTGAATCATACCAAATCGTAAGCTCACTGTATCGAGATGTGTATCATATCGTGGCCTATGTATCGAGGTATAAATCGTATCGGTAACTTCTGAATGATACTGAGCCCTAGTGAGGATAGACATGTTCTTGATGTTATTGTCTTTTTAACTGCAAAATGTAAACTTCTCTTAACACTGCTTTTAAAACCAGCTCTTCCTCCTGAGAGTTCACACTTCTCTGATTGGTTAAATCCACCTGTCACTCACTTAGAGAGTGGCCAATAGGAGGAGAGGATTGAATTAAATATGATTTCAAAATTTTCACAATTCAGTTTATCACCACTGTCAAGCCCTAATTTTTTATTTTTATTTTTTCCTAAACTTTACCATAAATAATAAACTTTAAAGGTGTACCGTGTAACTTTTCTGGTGGAGGGGTCTGTCACCTGCTTGTTTCTATGGAGATGTCATTTCTCAGCCTGGAATGTTCCACAGTATGACATAAAGCAGCTCTACCTTACATTTATTCAATTCCAGGTGCTTTTACGGCTCAAAAATATTGAGAAAAACAACATTCTGACTGTGAGCGGGGTCGCCTCTTCGCAGATCTGACCTGTAACTTGACCTGGTTTGGTCTCCGTGAAGATAGAAAGGTTTAAAGTCAGACAAAGCAATAACATCTTGAAGAAGAAAAGCATTTGACGGACCCTCCAAGAGAAAAGTTACACAAGTGATTGCAAAATGATCCATTCTAAAATTTGAAATCCAATTACTAAAATAATAATCATTCGGTTTTTTGTTTGTTTTTTTAAACCAATATCTACGAATCAAACACCTGTATCTCTCCTGCTCTTTCTCTTGTCTTGACAAACGTGAAACCAACCTTTACTCTCTCCATTTACATTTCCAGCACGTGTCCGCTCAATTATGTTTTTGCGTATTTATTTTTCTTGCCATGACTGACGCACACGACGCACGCACGCTCGCCCGCTGTCTCTGTAGATGCCGTTGTCGTGGAAACTGCAGACGGAGAGACCTCGGCTTTAAGGCATCGTTGTTTTTTCCTCTTTCTCTCTCCACCGCTATCGGAAAGAGACGAGTGGGCAGAACGAAGCCAACAACATAATTTAGGTCAAGAAAACGTGCGCTAGAATCGGCGTAACGTCTCAACTGAGGACGCCGATGAGTGTTAGAAGGTGAACAGGTGGCTGCCGCTCCTGACCTACTGTATGGGTGAAGATGTGGGGCTAATAATGATAGAACAGAGCGCGTTTTCGACACGTTAAGGAGACGCCATAATCACCAAACCGCGCCACAGCCGATCCATGCTCATTGGTAACACATTCGACAAGCATTACAAAGGGTATTATTAGTTCACTTGTGAATACGGGGTTGTCCAAAAATCACTGCAGGCAAGTATCGAGTTAACAGGTGCACAGAGAAGGGAAGGAAAGACAAATTCGTGTCTAGAAACAAACCAGCGGAGAAGCGTTACGCAAAACGCAAATCAATGAATGACACGCGTGTAACCTACGACGTGTGCAGGGCATGTTGGACGAGGAGACTTGGGTGTAAATGACTTAATATCGAGTTGGGTGGCAGCCCCGGAGAGCCAGAGGTCCAGGGTTTAAGCGGGAGTAGACAGAAATCGTAGCGACCTTTCGCGACATTAGCCAGACGAAAGCTGGATGACACGAACCTAAGGTGTAAACAAGCGTGCGAGCGGGTAGAGGGACTCTGCAGGTAGTTTCTTGGCAACACGTACCATAACCATGTAAATGAAAAGGTTATATTAAGGTTTAAAGCGATGCAAATCATCATAGACGGTGCGTTACGCGGATAATTTTATGCGTAAAATGTGTCCTACCTTGCAACTAAAGTGGGTCAGTGCAGTCAGAACCATCGTGTCTGTTGTTGCGAATCTTCAGGTTAGCGGAGAGGATTAGGCAAGCTGTTTTTTAAAGCAGAGCATCCCTTCTTTTACGCAGCCAAGAGCGGGAGCGGGAGCGGGAGCCAGAGCGAGCCAAGCGGAAGGAAGGTGAGTGGATGCGCGAGATCAGTCTGCGTGGCGACTGCTGCTCAACCAAAAAAGCTTTTACCCTTCTGGTTCTTCTTGCAACTCTCTCGTAGCATCGCGATGTTTAGACAGTATGTAACCAATCCATCATCACCTCATGTCTCACGGCGTTTAACCTCGAGACAGCATGCGGAGTCATTGAGGTGCGTGCCGTTTTGCAGATTAGCCAAATTGAGCAAAAGCGTCGCAAGAAGAAAAGGGAAGACAATGCTGCAGTGTGAAATAAAAATAAGCCAATAAAAACATCAGGCATTACTGCGGATAAACGTTTAAAGTCTTACCAATAGGCGCTTTGGAGCTGATACACCCCATGTTTTCACGTGCATCTATAAGTCCCTAAATGAGTTGATTTTTGTAAGAAGAAAGCGTGTGGTACCTCGCAGATGGAGAGCTGGGTCCTTCTCACACACACCACCGAAGTGCAGCCGAGTCGAGGGCGGGGGAGAGTCCACACATCACTTCAGCGTGCCGCATTTCCCTCTAGTTTTCTTTCAGTAAACCTCATTCACAACCGTGCGTAAAATCAGAAACACAGTCCCAGAGCTGCTCTCGTCTGGCACTCCGCTTCCACCTGGGAAACCGACATGCACATGGGCTAAGAGCGGAGAAATCCCACGCCAAAGTGCTTTTTATACAGCCCCCAAGCCGTTTCCGCCTCCCGCTGCTGTCAGTTCGCCAGGCAGGAGCGGAAAGAGCGCTGATTGGCCGGTGTCAGCTTACACGAGAAGGGGCCGGGCCAGGACGCAGCGCAGAGGTGCACTTGTTCTGCTACTGTAGTAGTACGTGCAACCAGTGGTGTAGAGGTGGTGCCGAGGATTCCGCCAAACATGGTGATTCCTTTGCTTTTATATGAGTTTTGACCTACATCTTAGGTAATATTTTCCGTTTCCTTTAAGAGCTTATATTTTATAAACTATTCAGGTCAATTTGGAGCTACTTTATTACGCGCAGCAGTTTCAACAAGAACTGCTTTGCTTAAGTGTAGGCCAGGGTCTCCAATTCTATTCAGTTCTATTGCAGTTCTATTCTTTCCTCTCCTTTTTCCTCTGGTGAGCTACTTTTACTAAACAAAAATGCAAGAGAGCTACTCATTTTAGAGGTCGCAAGAAATTGAGTAAAATATAAGAGTCTTAGATGGGGTTTGATGCCTATAAAACATTTACACAACTATTATCTATTTAGTGCACAAAAACAGACATCACATTTACAGTGGTAATGGACATTCCATTTAATCAAGTTTAAGTTATTCAGCACAATACGCATGATTTAAAAAATGCCTTGGAGAGCCACTTGGAAGGGAGTGGTACCTCCCAAGCTACAGGTTGGAGACCCCTGGTGTAGACCATGGGTATCCAGTCTTTTTACTCCAGTTATCTACTTTTACAAAACGAAAATGCCAGAGCTTCTAGTTTTAGCGGTCACAAGAAGCCTTAGATAGGGTACACTTAGATGACTATAAAACATAAGACAAAATATCCATTTATATATTAGTGTACAGTGGTAATAGGCATTTATTTAATCAAATTGTACTTATTCAGCACAATATGTATAATTCAGAAATCCTTTGGCGAGCGGGTGGAGAGTTACTGGTAGCTCCCGAGCTGCAGGTTGGAGACTCCTGGTGTAGGCAGTTTATTTAAAAAAAACAAAAAACTAAGTAGCAATTCAGAAACATTTTGTAAAATCACAAGGTGGAACACAGCGTTTTTAGCTTTGAAAAAGGATTTTACTCTCAATTCTAAAGCATGTTTTTGATGAGGAAACATGATTATAAGTCAGTAATCAGTAACACTTAAACCCACTCATCACTTGAGAGGTGAGATCCATCTGTTTAATTTCTGTTCACATACAGTCTGAAATTAGTTAAAGGTGCACTATGTAACTTTTCTGATGGTCTGCCATCTGCTTGTCTCCATGGAGATGTTATTGTGTTACTTAGAATGTTCAAAATATGGCATCTATCACCATGGAGACAAGCAGCAAGTTACAGGTCAGATCTCTGGAGTTCTGGAGAGGCAACTCTACCAAAAAAAAAAAAAGAAAAAGAAAGAAAAACTAAACCTGGAATTGAATGTTGAAAGTGTATATTCCAGGTGAAGGCTGCTGCTGTCCATACAGCAAGATCATTTTACTTGACAAATTACTACCTGTAGACTAGAATTAAGCAGTCTCTGGTGAAAAATGTAGATAATAAATCTGAAAACAAAATAAATAACTTGATATATGTTTTAAAATCTTGGCCAGATCAGAGAAATTTGCAGTGTCAATGCATGTCTTTGGAACTGCAGTGTTGGACTTTGCATTTTTGTGTTAAATGGCAAAAAGTTGGTCTTGTTTAAAGGTGTGCTGTGCAACGTCTAAGGCAGAGGGTCACATACAATTAGAAATTAATTAAAGGTGCATTATGTGACTTTTCTGATGGTCCGCCATCTGCTTGTGTCCATGTAGATGTTCTTGTGTTGCTTAGAATGTTCTAAATATGACATCTATCACCATGGAGACAAGCAGCAAGTTACAGGTCAGATCTCTGGAGCTCTGCAGGGGTGAGACTACTAAAAAAAAAAAAAAAAAAAAAAAAAAAAAACGAAAAGAAAAGAAAGAAAAGAACTACATCTGGAACTGAATGTTTAAAGTGTACATACCAGATGAAGGCAGACCCCAAAAGTTACACAGCACATCTTTAAAAATCCTTATGTTTTAGTGCTGATTGCTGTTCTTTCAAAGCTCAGGTAAACTTCGATTGACACCTGTTCCAGCCTCAGAGTCTCAGAGCTTGTTACTCTTGTCCCTGTTCAGGAGAATCTGAGTGTGAAAGGTTGCCGTGCAGACCCGTATTATAGGCCTGTACTGCAGACCTGTACTCACCTTCACAGCTTCAGTACATGATGTGTGCAGTGATGTAACAGCGGCTCTGTCCAATTATAGCCAAACGCACGTGTGGGGGAGAGGTGACACTTTTCACACAAGAGCTATAATGCACAGTACAGTATGACAGGTTTCTCCTCACACTCTACTCCTATAGGCTCATTATGATCCTACATTAAGCCACACATCTGGAAATATAAGTGAGATTACATTAAAGCTGCACTAACTGTAACTTTTCTGGTGGACGATCTGCCACCTGCTTTGTTATTGACTTTGCTAGAATATTCTACATTCAACAGAAGTCGTCCGGCATCGGTTAATTACTTTTCTATATCACTACAGTGTGACAATCACCGTAGCAACAGGTAAAGGAAAAATGAACTGCTGCCACTGGCACGCGCTAAAAAAAGTAACACAGTGCATTTAATTTCCGTCAGAGAATAATTAATAAATCCTTAAATTTGTTATAAAGGATCAAAAAATAAAAGTCTCACACGAAACCAATTACTCCAAGTACTAATTACTCCCTATTGTGTAAGAGCCATATTATAATTAGTATCAAACTTTTATTTATTTTTATTTTTTTGACATGGTTTCAAGAAAAAAGCAAAGAAGAAAAGCAAGAAAAAGTACTTGTACTTGTACTCTATCCTCCATTGGACTTCCTTTTAAAATAAAACTTCGCATTTTTTATTGCACCTTTAATTCGCAAGTTCATTTCGCAGAAACAACAATGATCGTTGACAGACATGTTCACTCTCTGCTTTGTTTGCTGTTGTGTCGGCAATTACTTGGACACCAGTGAACGTTCTGGTGCATTACATACGTCACGACCAAATAGCAGCGGTTGGTTAAATAAAAAAAGTACCTGCCTGCCGTCGAGCGAATGAATCCTAATGCTGTGAGGTCAGACGGTTTCTACAAAGTGAAATAATCTGATGAATCAGATTAATTTGGAATTAAAGTAAATAAAAAACTGGCAGTGAGCAATATCCTGAAAACCACTAGAAACCTTTTAAAACAAGCCAAATGAAACAACATAAAGCTACAGTATGTAACTTTTTTGTCATACTGTGTTACTGTTTTATGTCGTGCTGTGGAAGATTATAAGCCTGATTCTTCAGCTGGTTTCACTTTGTAGAAACCGTCTGACCTCGCAGCGTTAGAATTTGTTCGCTTGATGGTAGGCGGGTACTTTTTTTAATTTAACCAATCGCTGCAATTTGGTATATTAATCATTGACGACACTGAATATATGACTCTTCTCTGATTGGCTGGTGTCTGAACTCGCACTTTCGGGGTTTTTGCGAATCATCTAGTGTATTCTGAGTCCTGATCTAGTCACTGGAGAGAAATGAAATTGAGAGGAGGCACTAGGTGGCGCCAGCCTGACTAGAAGATTATAACCAAAGCAATAACATCCATGGAAGCAAGAGTCAGGTTTGTGGAGATGCAAGCTCTCTCACAGTAAGGCTACATTACTCTGAACCTTTTTCAGTGCATTCAGATATCCAAAATGAAAACCAAACATGCATTTTATCTTTAAATCAAAAATCATTACATTTTATTGATTCCTTTTTTGTTGATTTGTCTGTTATAGCTTCACAACCTCCATGCAACAGCTCTAAAAACAGAACCGACATACAGTAAGTTGACATAACGCTTTCAAGTATTCCCCAATCAGAGAACCCATTATATCCAACAGAAGTGGGACTAGATGCAAAAATAGTGCATTGTCCTAATTGTAAGGGTCCTTGCCTGTTTGCCGTAGCCAGTGAAAACGCCTACTCCGACTCTAAACATAGACGGCGTGAGATGGAGGAAAAGCATCGGTGCTCTCGTAAAGACAAACGGCCCGGGGTCACACAGAGAAGGTTCGCCCACGCAATCGAATAACGCTCCAGTCTGTGAATGAATGGGCCGTGAGTCTATAACCCCCGCGCACAAGGCTGCTTTATATACACCGCTTATTGCTGCATTTGAGATGATATCACAAGATTATATGGACCTATTGTTATTATTTAAAGGTGCATTGTGTGACTTTTTTGATGAAGGGTCCGTCATCTGCTTGTTTTTATGGATATGTCGTTGGTCCACCTTACATTTATTCAATTACAGGATGGTTTAAGAGCAAAAATAGCTGGAAAAACAAACATTCTGACAGTGAGTGGGGTCGCCTCTCCACAGATATGACCTGCAACTTGGTCTGGTTTGGTGTCCATGAGGATAGAAAGGTTTAATATCATACTGTGAAACATTTCCATGAAGAAAAGCATTTACTACAGATGGAGGCAGCTAAAATGAATAATGTCCAAATGCAGATTTTTGTTGTGAGTTCTTGGGTTCAGTCACTTATAAAAATGATCAGGTTCAACATTTGTGAATTTAATTTATGGATATTTTATGGCAAAGTACAATATAATCAATTGGAAAAACTGTTACGTTGCAGAATCTGAAAACCACCAATACAACAACAAGTATAAAGAATGTATTTTTCGGTTGCACATCTAATAAAAATTTAATTAAATCCTTTTAAATAATCTATGATCAGCTGGGTATTTTCATTTGAGACGTCTACAGCCAATCCTCTGTCAGTACGCTGGAAAAATGATATAAACACTTAAATCTATCAGAAAATGATTTAAAAGTAGTGAAATGATCTGTTCATGCAGTAAGTTATTTTAAAATAAACTACCTCTAGACTAGAATTAAGCATTCTCAGAACTGGTAAGAATAAATCTGAAAACAAGATGAATAACCTGATA